ATAAGTTTATTAATTTAATTAATAAAATTAATTTTAATTTAGTAATCTTTTTTATATTATTTTAAAACACTTTAAATAAAATATTGAAGTTTATGTAAGTAAGTTATTTATTATAGTTAAAATTGATTATAAATAATTTATGCAAATTATTTTATTTCCATAAAATTTTTAAATCCTCTGAGAAATTCCCGTCGGAAATCTCTCCGGAAAAAAATCCGCGATCGGAAAGATCCGTCGATTCTGTCGAAAAGATAGTCCGCAAAAATACTTGAGCCTTTATCTGTCAGGATATGCGCTCGGAAGAGAACTGCCGGAAACATTCGCGCGCGGAACTCCGCCAAGTGAAAATCCGCCGGTAATGGACATGTTTTTGTAGTAGTCTTCTCAATTTGAAGGGTTATCAATGACTATCTTTAGCACCTGATAATGATATAACTTCAAAAAAAAAAAAATCAATGCTGAAACTCCATTTGTTCACCATATAGTCGTTGAGGATAAGAGATTTTTATGGTCATGATTCTGGTAGCATTTTTTTAAATTCTGTTAAGGCACACATTATCATTTTTTGATTCTAAATACTAAATAGATAGGCTTACATATGCAGTTTATGGTAATTTCTTTGGGGTTATTGAAGATTCATATAACTATTAATTGTATCGAACGAATTCCTGTCATTCAGATGTTAGTGCTATATATAGTCGGTACTCATTATTATTATTTAATAGTAAATGGCAACTAATTATAGTGCCTTTAGCATATATCAAATATACTATTTTTTTATTGCATTTAGGTTGAGTTATTCTTCCGTTGTTCTTTGTAATGCAAAATTGGGTGAAATAGAAATGTGTGAACTGTTTTTATTGTGGACATGATTTTTGTTGCGATATATTATTGTTAAGAAATTAATTAACATTTTTGTAAAATATTAATTAATAATTATAAAATTAAATTATAAAAAATAAAGATATAAATTAAAATATTTTAATTGTTTTATTAAAAAAATATAATTAGAACTGTTGATGAGACTAGAAGTATATCGCGGCGATTGAGTTTTTAATTATTCGTATTATGCCGTTATAGCCGCATATCCAGGCTCACAGCACCAGAGAAGCACTAAGATTTTTTTATGTAGGACAACCTTTCGAGAAAGGGAAAACCATGGGGCCCTAGCCCAGTTGAAAATGATTCCACTAGATACTGTGAGTTAGATTACAGATGGGATGACTCGTTCTTAAGAAGGCGATTACAACCCTATATGGCTACTAATGCTCAAAGCAAATCTGTAATGGATAAGTTTCGAAAATAAAATCGAGGAGCAATTTGAAAACTCCTTTTCAGCAAAGCTTACAGTGCTGATACTGAGCGTAAATCAGAGGGCAATACGAACCCAACGACACCAAATTCGACCCCAATTTGAGCCAAATGGTACCCAAATCAAGAACCGAAAGCATCTGTTTGTGATAGGTTCAAACTACATTTGGATTACCGAAAACGGAGTTCCAAACATAAACAAGCTTATTGTCAAATCTAAGCGTCTGAACGAGAAGATCCAACGACTTACCAAGGATCATTAAATTCATGACATCACTTGAGACATTCAATACCGTCAAATCCGAATGGTTCGTTGATCAAGGATTCCAAGATCGGTGCGTCCATCCCAACCACTCCGAGACCTCCACTAACCCTTGATCTCTCCACTGGACCACCGCCTAAAAGCCGTCACTGACATTATATCGTCGGACCACCACCTGATCCGCTGTGCTCCACGGTACCACCGCTTAATTAACGCCGTCACAGTGCTATTGTATATACCACCTGGAACCACTCACCTGACGCCTGATGCTCCCACCGGACCACCCGTCTATACACCTGTGACATTTTCGCTGGACACCACCTAACGGCTCTATTGCTCCACCGAATCATGACGCTAACGACCGTCGCAAAGTTGAAACACGCCGGATCACTACCATAAGACGCTCTTAGGACGACTCTTACAGTCCCTTTCATTCTTGAAGCTCTCGATAATTTGCCAGGCAACCTTGAGATTCTCAACCATTTGTCAGACCTTTCATCTAAGGGCCCGATAGCTCTGCCTTATATCATCCAAAGGCCGAAGTCCTGCCAGACATTACTCGATCACTCCAGCGACTTTCTTATTGTACAATTGCACAAGAGGGACACTACTATTTCGGAACATGGATTACTAATGGGTAGGGGAAGGCCTCATACTGAGAGAAGAGAGAAGAGGAGAGGTGCAAAAAAGAAATAGGCCCAGGTGGCCTATTATCGGAAAAAGAGGGAGTTCTACGCTACTCTCCCTCTCTCCCTCTCAATCCCTCTCCTCCATGAAAAAAAAAATTTTCGGTGCTACAATCATTCAGCCACGTCATTCAATCCACCCTTATACATATGCGCGCCACGTTACCTGATCCGTCATCTGTGGCAACTACCACGTTAAAATCGATCTGTCTGCATGGCCTGCACATTCAGCATGACCCAACCAGGTTATGAATGCCATGTCACCACGATATGCATATTGTGGGCAAAGTCACCAAAATCGGATCCAGATCTCAATGTCGTGACCACATCAGCCATTACCCAACAGGTCATGGGTGCCAACGTTATCCACGATATGTGTCGGGCCGACGTCAGCTCATGACCCATCATGGTTATGGGTTGCCACATCATCGATCTCGCAAATGCCACTTCCACTCATCGATCCTTATGGCATGCACTGCCTTTCCACTCATCCACAAAACATCCATGCTCCCTGGATTCAGACCCGGACTTGGGCATGATGGCAAAACAACTTACCAACTCTCCACTAATGAAGACTTGATATTATTATACTATTTTATTATTTAAATTATAATGTTAGAGTATATTATTTTGGCCCAATTTTGGGCCCGAAAATGCGTAATCGACGTTTTTTGGGGTCACCGGAACCGTTTTTTCGATGTTCCGGACTCAACTTTGACAACTTTTTCAAGTTGTTTTCCGGGACCTTCCTACACCACGATCAGACAACATCCAAGTCACGTGAAAATTTTTTTCGCCAGCTACATGCAATATTTTTCGGCCTCCTAAGCTTCGACACGCGAAATTAGGGGGACAACTTGATAACATCATACAAAAGTTTATCTTGATCGGGCCGAAATCTCAATGTAGAATTCAAAGTTGGAAAACTTAAAAATGAATTCGAGACCATCTGAACATCCTGATTTCTATTGTAACTATTGCTGACTGTGTAATCTGATCTTCCTTAGAGCGATTCAGCCTTTGTAACCGACTCAATTCTAGTGGATCATTTTCAACTGGGCTAGGCTCCATGGTTTTTTCCCCCTTTTTAGGTTTTCCAACGTAAAAAACTCTGGTGTTCCTCTATGAATGTTATCACTTCTCACTTATCTTGCATTGTGTGCTGATATCTTCGTCAATGCTAAGACATTAAACATAGTATTTCTCTCCGCAGCTGCGAATATTCAGGACGCAACAGTTTGTAAATCAATTTTTTGCGATTCAACAAATGTAAATATCGGAACAAAGTAATTTTCAATATCCCCGAGCATCGACAGTCAAAAAATAGAGGGGCAACTGATTACATCGTTCAAAAAAATTAATCTTGATCGGCACGAATCTCGTGGCAAATAAAGTTGGAAACTTTAAAAATAAAATTCAGAGACCATCTGAACCTTTCGCGATTTCAACAAACTTAACAGTCGAACAGAGCGTACTCAGAAGTACAAATCCAACGACAATGTAATGTGACCAAATCAACTCAATCCGAGGCGCCAACATGAGCCAATATTAAGGACCCGAAACGCTGTTTGGGAGCTTCATAACAAGAATAGTCAATTGATTGAGTTTTTATTTTTAAATTTTTTATTCACGTGCATTTAATGCATGTTGCAATAAAACTAGGTAAAATTAATGATTATAATTATGTCCATAATAATGAAATTTAAAATTTTTCAACTTAACAATGATAATATATCAAAATATTTAAAATATAAATTTTTTCTTATTTTTTAGTCACGTGCATAGGAATTTTTTCTAGTCTTAAAGCTTATGATATTATAATATCGATAAAGGGGGGTAGTTAGGAAGCATTTTTGGCGAAAAATTGCATATAACTGCCTTTTTTATCTACAAATTAAATCTATTATTTTTAAATAATAAATATTAATTTAGCTCAAATATTTTTGGTATCTAAATCTCAAATAATAAAATAAATTCTAGATCATATTTTTTAAATATTTATTAAATTATCAAATATTTATTATTTTCATTACTTTAAAAAATGCTTTTCGAAAGAAATATTTTTGAAGCAGAAAATAATAAAGCTTAAGCTGTCGGAAAAAATGCTTTTATTTGGGTGGCTTTAATAGATTTTTGATTTGTTTTTAAAACTCATTTCTTATCCTCATTTGGGACAACTTTGGTTAACAAAAATTTTAAGTTACAAAATATCTGTTAATTAAATTTTTTTTTTATTAAAAAAAATTATTTTTTTTAAAAAATAAAAAAATTGATCTCCAAAACGAAGACTTACCTCACAACTTCAAAATTTTTAATCCAAACATTTTTTGGGTGAAGGGAAATTATTCGGTTGCAACAGATCGAACGTAGAACGTCATTCAACGAAAATTTCAACAAAATGCGCAACGCAGTGATACCGACACGCAGTCCAAGTCACTGGTACCTGGAGCACACATGTAACATGAACACATCTGGTTGATCTCTGGACAGCGTTCGGCGTCCGCACAGAATAATTTGTTGTTTGTGGAAGAGCTATTCTTTTTTATTTATATTTTAAAAGTCAAATTTTAAACCATAAGTTTTAAATATATATATTTAAAAATTATATTGTTAAAATAAAATAAAAACATTTAAAAATTATCATCACAAATTTTTAAGTTTTTATACTGTTTTTGACTGTTTTCGGTTTTTTTTCACCCACCAGCTCCGGTTCGACTGATTTTTGACGGTTCAATTCGGTCTTTCAAATTTCAATGCACGGTTTCTCGATTTTTTCTCTCCTTGATCTATTCCCCTCCCTCCATACATATTTGTCTTCTTTGCAAGTCAAACCACTCGTCGATCTCAGATTAGGGTTAACATTAGAGGCGAGTTCTTCATGTCGCGACCAAACTATGTCTCCAATCTCTGAGTTTTCGGCTTCATTGTTTTTGATTTCCTTATATAATTGGATTGCGCTTAGGTGTTGAGAAAAACCGAGGTAATCCTCTAATCTTGTTTTATAAATTTATCTTATTTTACTGTTTAATGCTTCAAGTTTCCACCACTGGAAATGGCAGTCATGAATCTGCTGCAATTTTCTATGCTGTTTTAATATATAAATGGTAGTTTGAAAAGCTAGTAATCTCTATGGTATTGTGATACGAGTGAGAAACCTATTTGTGGCATGCGTGGATGGATGGAACACTATTATGCTATTCTTCAACGATGTTTCAGTGATGTTTATCGTTTTTTTTAAACCTTATTATGTTTAGTTGAATTTGTAGAAATTATTACCACTCGTCCGATTTATGCAACCATTTTCTATAACAATGGCTAATTGTGATTCAGTAGAATAAGAGGGATCAATTCGTATCACGACTCCTAATCTACAGGTTGAATGAAAAATCAGTATAAAGCCCTTCTTTATTTATTTTTTAGGTAGTGTGCATGTCCAGGCCATATGTCAACTTCTTTGTTATTAAATGTCATTATCACATTACATGTAATAGTAAATGTAGTCCTTTTATATATATCTGGATGAAGGAAGGTTGTTTTTACAAATTTAGTAAAGCCATTGGCATTGTTTTTTTAACTATTTTGATGTACATTTATGCTTGAATTTGAAACTTGGCCTATTCTCATATAGGCGAAGTTCTTTAATAATGAAATTTGCAAATATTAAGAAGTCTCATATGATAAAATTTTATATCAATGAGAAATACCTAAATTGATCTGTTCCTAACATTGATAAGGACACTATGTTTGAAATAAGAACCTTTGTTTTGAAACAAAAACCTTCCATTTAGTTTGTGGAGAATTCTATCACTTTTGATAGCATTGGTGGGGCAATTCATCTTCTTGAAGATACAAAGAATTATAAAGTCAGGCACATAGAATTGATTCTAATGGCTTAGATTAAAATTTTTAGTTCTAACTTTTCTACAAGATGCAATATGCTGAAATTGTGCATAATATTGTAGGTTTTTATTAAAACAAGACTTTGTTATGCGCCACTTTACTTTTTTATTTTTATTTTTTTTGGATTTAATATTAACTTTGATAGATGTTAAAATATTTGAGGTCGCTAAATTTAACTTCAATTATATAGATATGATCTCTTATCAGATCTAAAACTATAATCATGTTTTGTAATATTCACTTTAGGATAATGAATTCTTTATTTCTTAATTTTAAAAGGATACATAATTTAAGAGAAAGGACAACTTAATGAAGGTATCTTGATGAAAATAAGTAGTTAACCACCTTCTTTGTAAATTTTTCATCTTTTCCCATGTGACAATCTTTCCCTTACTTCGTGATTCTGGTTTCTTTTAAGGCTCTCTCACCAAATAGAATAATTATTTTTCAAGTTGATGACCACAAACTTGACCTTTTTATGAGTTGACACTTCTTTGTAATCAAAGATGTACTTTATGGTGTCCTACCGATTAATGAAATCATTCAGATTCAAGCTAAATATTGCAGAGATGAGGATTCTTAGGTGGATGAGTGGCTTTATACTTAGTTATAGAAAACAAAAAGAGTTTATATGTGGAAAGGTTGGAGTAGCTCCAGTGGCGAGTCGCCTTAGATGATTTAGTCACATAAAACGTCTGCCTTTCGATGGCCCTGTTGGGAGAGCAGATGCATTAGATTCGGCTTATGCTAAAAAAGGTAGATGTAAACCTAATAAGACTTAGGTGGAAAGTATTAAAAATGATATTTTCTTATTAGATTTAAATGAGAATTTAACTCTTAATAAGATACAATGGAGAAAAGTGATTCATAGTTGACCCTACATAGTAGGATAAATACTTGTTGTTGTAGTATTCGGATTCAAGCCACTTCCAAAATTTGGAAAATCTATCTTTGCTAAAAAATCTTGATAAACCATTTTTGGTTGCTTTCTTAGAAATTGTTGGTAGTTCTTGACTGCTTGTCCTCCTTTGATAATTCTTGTTGCATTTGGTGGTGAGGGTTCTCCATTTCTCAGCCTTCTTGGTTCTTATTTAAATCGAAGGAATGAGCTCTTGGCACCGCTTGCAAGTCATTGTTGCAATTCATTCATCGTGAATTCTTGGGTAGGGCATTAGCATTTCTTAATTTGAGGCATCTTTCTAGGTTCTAATACTACTTGATACTGAAAGAAAATAAAGAGGAGATTCCAAGAAACTAAAAGAATTTCAAGAACCTGGAGTTATAACTCAATTGGACAACTCAAGGATGTTTTTGCATTCCCGTTCATTTTCTTTGAGAAAAAGTTTACTTTGGCTATTGATTCCGTAGACCAGTGATCCCCTTGCACTGTAAGTTGTTTGCAACCATTTCTCCCTTCCTTCGATGCTGTTATTGCATACCACCATCGCTCGGATAGCTTCCCAACCTTGCTTCGGGCATTGAAGATCTTGCTGTCATTACAGTGTTGTTGCAATGAATGTTTTTTCCTGAGTGTTCCTGCACTTTTCTGTTGATTGCATGCTGCAAGAGCTTCATAGTTTTGACTGGTCTACACTACAACCTCCTTCCAAGGACATGGGAATCCACCCTAAGAAATTGAATTATGAAATCTTATTGATCAATGAGAAAATTACAAGAACAAGAAGCTTTAAATAGACCCCAGGACCTCAATAACAAAGCAACAATTATAACAATAGCCTACAACACAAAGATAATAAGCACCCCTTTAACAAAAAGAAAATTATACAAATAACCCTTCTTATGAACTTGACATACCGGTAAATTAATAGCTTCATAGCTTTGATTGGTCAATTGCAGAGGCTATGACTCCACTACAACCTCCTTCCAAGGACATGATAATCCACCCCAAGAAATTGAATTATGAAATCTTATTGAAAAATTGGAAGGAGCAGCTTTAAATAGAATCCATGCTGTCAGTTACAAAGCAGCATTTGCAAAAAGCCCTACAGTACATAAAAATAGTAAATATCCCTGTAGCAAAAAGAAAATTATACAAATAAACCCTTTTTATAAACTTGATTATGTTAGTATGATTCTAGGAAATTCTTACTGCATGATATTTGTTACAAAAATATATTCAATATGGACCTATTCAAGAAAATTTTAAAAAGAATTGTATTTTTAAATTTATCATTGATCCTAAAGAAATTATCGTGAATGAAATTAGGAAAACAAATAAACAACAACAACAACAACAACAACAACAACATCAAGCCTTTATCCCACTACGTGGGGTCGGCTACATGAATCCTTTTTCTCCATTGAGTCCTATTAAAACAATTGAACTTCTTAATGGAAGAAGTTTATCTCATGATATACATGTGGTTGCTGTACACACAAACACATATAGATATAGAGTCAGACTACTATCTTCTTAGAAATTTAGAGTTCATTCTCCTTGCAAATCTTTTACTGTTCATCCAATCATTTGAATGAGAATTGAGTCTATTCTTAAAAAAGTGTATGCTTGTCTTGTAACTAGTTTTATCCAGCTTTATGATACCCTTAACTTGTATGTTGGTGCATTAATAATAAGGAATTTTGTTTTAGTCCTGACAATTAAATCTGTTTAATCTTATTGCCATAATATTCTGTTACAGTGCAAGTCTAACAAACCTACATCTCCAAAAGGATAAAGTAGTTACTGAAAGAAAAAATGTCTTAATAATCAAACGGTGATATCATTTTAAAATTCAGCATATTATGATTTATTTCGTGCATTTTAGGCTGCTAATTTGGTTTCTTGTTTTATATATGCTACTGGAAGGGCTGATTGCATGAGTTATAGGTGCTCTACGTCATCATTTGGAAATTAAGTATATTATGATATATTTGTTGCATTTTAGGCTTCTAATTTTGTATGTAGGATTCCTAATTTTATACATATTCCTGGTTTTGCTGATTGGAAGACTTATTCTTAACAGGTGTTCAATTTGTAAAGAAACACATTTATAAGATGGCAGGTGAACCTAGTGTTGAAGTTTCAAATGATCAAAAGGCCAATAGAACTAATAGGACGGGATCTTTATGGCTATCCTTGGTTGTCCTCCTGCTAAATGGCTCATGGGCAATCTATTATTTTCAATATAATAATCTTCCTATGCCCTTAACAGCTGAGCAGGCAGGGAAACGGGGTTTTTCAGAAGCTTTATCCTTGTTGCATGTCAAGAATTTGGCTGGATTTGGTCCTCATCCTGTTGGTTCTGACACTCTTGATCTTGCAATACAGGTAAGTGATTTGGTGTTTAGAAAAGTCTCATTTGTGAGTTCTCGATTTATTAGATTTTTATCATAATCACATCATCATCATCATCATCATCATCATCATCGTCATCATCATCGTTGTCATCATTAAAAACCACCTTACTTGTATGGGGCTGTTTTATGAATCTTCATTCTCCATTTGCCCTTGTTTAGTCCTATATTAGGTATTAAATCACTTTCATGCAAATTTTTTTTTTGCACAACTTCATCTTAGCTACCTTTGTTCTACTTTTTTTTGTAGGGACTTTTTGTTTTGATGTATTAGTGGTTTTAAAAATTGTCAGGTGTGTGATAGGAACTGAAACAAACACAAAGTAGTTTTTAATGATTTTAGAACACTCCCAATAGCCTATGTTTGATGTATTCTAAATTCACTCAAATCATGCAAATTTGAAATATTTCATGCTTATCCGTGTTTCTCGAAGCCCTGTCATGAGACTCTACCATCATTGTGATAGCATTCCCAATGTCTACGTGTCCTTAGTTGTTGCGATCTCATTTCCATGACCTTATTAACTCTATCTTTTCCATTGCTATGAAATCGTTCCCATGACTTCTTGATTGTCTTATGTCCCCACATCACCTCCAACAAGTTAACCCACTGACTCAGTCCTTTTCATCGCTGCCATCTCTATTGACCATCCATTTTTTTCGCCATCCCTATTGATCTCATTCCCATTGTCACTATCATGCCCAAATAAAATTTATAGATATATTTATAAAAACTTTTTATTCAATTTATATAGCCATTTAAACACAAAAAAATTTGTTTCCTAAATTTACATTAATATTAATTAAATAAACTTGAGTATCCAAATGCATTGTATTTAATAAACACTATGTTAGACCGGTCCCTCGTGGATTGGTCCAATCGGTCCTTCCTGGACTGGCTCTAGGCTCTATCATATTTGAGGTGGAACAGGCTTCATCCTATTTGAGGCGGAATAGGCTTCCGCCTTGGATGATTGCCTACCCTTTTGGGTGGGGCCCAAGAGCAATTTTGAATAAGAGAAAGGCGGAGGTTAGGAGGGAAAGCCAATATAGGAGGGATGTTTGGGGATTTCGAAAATTGTTGTTTGCTTTAAGTAGGTGGTTTCCTTAGGGTCAGGGTTATGTTTGGTTTGTTGAATTTAGATTGTTCTTAGGTTGATTGGGCTTGAGCAGGAGGCTAGGGATTTGGGAGAGCCGGATCTTCCTCTCCAATTGAAGATCCAATTGTATTTTGTGTTTTTCTTGTTGGTTGTATTAATAAAAAAGAGTTCTTGTGTGCTCTTCTTCCTTAATTTCTTGTGCTGTTTTTTGACTTTGTTGAAATTGCATCCACTTTCAATCAAATTGGTATTAGAGCCTTGTCCTGGATGGAAATAGGACTTCCTTGCTGATTTATGCTGCGTTTTCTCCCCTTTGTATTGCTAATTGTTACTGTTTGAAGACCAGATCCGCTGTTTTTTTGGCCGTTTTTGATATTTAGAGCCTAGAATTGGGTATTCATGTCCGGAAGGAAGGTAAAAGTGTTGGAGGGGGAGATCAGACAATTGAAATATAAAATTTCGGATCTCCAAACTCAATTTTTAGATTTCAAAAGTCAAATTTCAGCTGTCCATGAGAAGATTGATGATAAATTTTTCATCCTGGAGGAGCTGTTGAAGAAGTTGCTCGAGGGTCAAACCAAGACGACATTGTTGGAGGTGAGGGAAGTCACCGGCAAGCAACGAAGAGGGAAAAAAATCCTAATCCGATAAGACAAATGGAAGATTAGGAGGTGGAGATTCTGGAGGGAGAAGGGACTAGAGTCTATTCCTAAGGAGTGGTCTGGTAGACGGTATGGGGAGAGGCATGAGGAGGTCAGGCATGAATGAATGGGTGTTGAAGTTGAGAGGAGAGGGACATAATTTGAAAGGAAAGGGACTGATTATGATCGAAGGGGTACTGAATTTGAAAGAAGAGGGGTTGAATTTGAAAGGAAAAGGGCTAATTATGATCTAAGGGGTGTTGAATTTGAAAGAAGGTGCGGTTTTGACGAAAGGTTTGGGTATGAGCATAGAAGAGATGATTGAGAATCTTAGGGGGAACCACCTCCTTGGGGAATGAGAAATTATGGAGAAAACATAGGGTACATAGGAGATCCAAGGGTGAGGAAGTTGAAGATGTCTATTTTTGAGGAAGGTAATGCACGTGAGTGGATATACAAGGTGGAAATGTACTTTATCATCAATAGGTTGATGGAGGAGGAGAGTCTAACGTTGGCCGAGATGTGCTTGGAGGGAAAAGCATTGACATGATACTAGTGGAGGGATACGAGGCGACCCATACGTACCTAAAAGGAATTTAAGGACTGCTTGTTGGAACATTTCAAAACAAGCAGGGGAGGGGACTTCTATGAGCAGCTCTTTGCTCTGACGTAGGAGGGATAGTGGCGGAGTGCCGTGAACAGTTTGAGCACCTGACCAGCCTAGAGGGAAACTTTATGAAAGAGCTTAGACTTGATATTTGGACTGCAGTTAGAGTGTGTGGGTCTCCGAAAGGATTCCGCTCGTGTGATTCGAATGCAAAGGGTACGATCACACTATCCCGTAGGACAAAATGGTTGTAGACCTTTACAATCGACACAAGCAGGCCGATGGAAGAACAGATGGAGTTATAGATACGATTAGCCATGGAGGATAGCGGCTTTCACCTACCCCTTTCAAAGACTTCAACTTGTTCTCAGGTAGAAAGACAGCACCTTCTCCTCAATTTTCTCGTCATCACAAATGTGAGAACTGGGAGAGTTTGGTCCTTACACTTAAGTTCTCGATGTATACCTCTCCTCACATCTGAAACACAGCCCTTCGCCCTCTTTTCTTGTAACTTATTTACTGTGAGCTTCTTGAAATTTTCTCCAAGTCTCCCTCCAACAGTCTTCTCCTTCCTTCGAGATCTCCCTATGAATACCCGTGTCGGCTCCTAGAATCCAAAAAGGTGGCGGTTATCCTAAACCCGAACATATACACTCCTGTTTGCTACCTACATCCCATCTCTCCAGGTGCTTCTAATCCTCCACTAACTGGGCTAGCTCCATAGCCTTCCCAAATCACGAGTCTCATCACTCTACTGCAGTCCAAATATCAAGTCTAAGCTCTTTCATAAAGTTTCCCTCTAGGCTGGTCAGGTGCTCAAACTGCTCACGGGCACTCCGCCACTATCCTCCTACGTCAGAGCAAAGATCTGCTCATAGAAGTCCCTCCCTACTTGTTTTGAAATGTTCCAACAAGCAGTCCTTAAATTCCTTTTAGGTACGTATGGTCGCCTCGTATATCCCTCCACTAGTATCATGTCAATGCTTTTCCCTCCAAGCACATCTCGCCAACGTTAGACTCTCCTCCTCCATCAACCTATTGATGATAAGTACATTTCCACCTGTTATATCCACTCACGTGCATTACCTTCCTCAAAATAGACATCTTCAACTTCCTCACCTCTTGGATCTCCTATGTACCCTATGTTTTCTCCATAATTTCTCATTCCCCAAGGAAGTGGTTCCCCTAAGATTCCAATCATCTCTTCTATGCTCATACCAAACTTTCGTCAAAACCGCACCTTCTTTCAAATTCAAACACCCTTAGATCATAATTAGCCCTTTTCCTTTCAAATTCAACCCCTCTTCTTTCAAATTCAGTACCCTTCGATCATAATCAGTCCCTTTCCTTTCAAATTATGTCCCTCTCCTCTCAACTTCAACACCCATTCATTCATGCCTGACCTCCTCACACCTCTCCCCATACCGTCTACAGACCACTCTTAGAATAGACTCTAGTCCCTTCTCCCTCCAGAATCTCCACCTCCTAATCTTCCATTTGTCTTATCGGATAGGATTTTTTCCCCTCTTCGTTGCTTGCCGGTGACTCCCTCACCTCCAACAATGTCGTCTTGGTTTGACCCTCGAGCAACTTCTTCAACAGCTCCTCCAGGATGAAAAAATTATCATCAATCTTCTCTATGGACAGCTGAAAATTTGACTTTTGAAATCTAAAAATTGAGTTTGGAGATCCGAAATTTTATATTTCAATTGTCTGATCTCCCCTCCAACACTTTTACCTTCCTTCCGAGACATGAATACCCAATTCTAGCTCTAAATATCAAAACGGCAAAAAACAGCGGATCTGGTCTGTCAAACAGTAACAATAGCAATATTAAAGGGAGAAACGCAGCAGAAATCAGCAAGGAAGTCCTATTTCCATCCAGGACAAGGTCTAATACCAATTTGATTGAAAGTGGATGCAATTTCAACAAAGTCAAAAAACAGCACAAGAAATTAAGAAGAAGAGCACACAAGAACTCTTTTTTATTAATACAACCAACAAGAAAAACACAAAATACAATTGGATCTTCAATTGGAGAGGATAGATCCGGCTCTCCCAAATCCCGTAGCCTCCTGCTCAGCCAATCAACCTAAGAACAATCTAAATTCAACAAACCAAACATAACCCTGACCCTAAGGAAACCATCCTACTTTAAAGCAAACAACAATTTTCGAAATCCCCAAACATCCTCCTATATTGGCTTTCCCTCCTAACCTCCGCCTTTCTCTTATTCAAAATTGCTCTGGGCCCACCCAAAAGGGTAGGCAATCATCCAAGGCGGAAGCCTATTCGCCTCAAATAGGATGAGCCTGTTCCACCTCAAATATGATAGAGCCTAGAGCCAGTCCAGGAAGGACCGATGTACCAATCCACAGGGACCGGTCTAACATAGTGTTTATTAAAATACAATGCATTTGGATACTCAAGTTTATTAATTAATATTAATTAAATTTAGGAAAAAAATTTTTTTGTGTTTAAATGGCTATATAAATGAATAAAAGTTTTTAATAATATATCTATAAATTTTATTTGGCATGATAGTGACAATAGGAAGAGATCAATAGGGATGGCGAAAAAAGGATGGTCAATAGAGATGGCAGCGATGAAAAGGACTGAGTCAGTG